TATAACCCAACCCCGAGTTGATCGAATGCGGAGCTCTCCTAAGGACGCGCCAGCTTGCCTTTGACAGTTGGTCGTTTGCATACCCCAGCAAATGTACACTTCACCAGGCTGCAGCAAAATAATGATGACAGCGTTAGTTTTTTTTTTGCACACAGGAGGGGTCCACCTCCAGGACTTCTACAAATGCAATAACCCTATTTCCTCTGGAAATGGATCACATTCGGATATTTGTTGAGTAGACAGTACCTATGATTAACAAAATGTTGAATGGTCATGCGGTCATTATTCAGGAAATTATCTTTAGATAGCCTATCTCACCTTCTGCAAAGTCGGGTCCCGGAGAATTCCTGGAACTGGTCTAGCGTTCCTATTTGGGAAAGCGTCTCGATGAGGCTTGGCGTGATGGTGTTCTATCAAGCTTCTTCGCTGGGTGGGAGGAGATGAGAAGGAGTGAAGGAAGTAAGGTGAGAAAGGAGGATGATACAGAAACATTGACCACGTTCACAACTGATAGTGATCCAATTTCATCAGACATCCACTGGCTCTTTCCCTTGTAAACCTCCTCATGCGCTTTACTTCTCTCCGTCTATCCCCGGCTCCTCTGCAGAATCTACAGATCAGATACGTCGCCTTCCTAGTTGAAACAGAGACTGTGGAGACCATGATGGCCTTGCAGTTGCACGAATCATTGAAGGATTCCGTTGTTGATTGGTAAACTGGTGATCGCGCCAGATGATGAACTGGGTGCTGCTTCCTTGGATACAAAAGGAGACATGACTACTCACACTGAGAATCCCCGCACATATGAGAGAGATTGGATAGATAACTTTCTCTATGGTATTCAGCAACCTGGCCGCAGATCGGAGACTGACTCCAATTCGGGACTGACAACCGGCCTGCTGCAAGATACCTCTATTTCCATTATGCTTTTGGGGGAAACAGCCCCTCGAACTGTTTTCGGCCAAAAACGGCCTTCTGGTAGCCCGGATCATCGATGTGTTTTCGATATCGGCAAGCTGCTCATTGTACCAGACCTGCCGCAGAGACTCTCAGCCATAGAGCTGCTCTTGTGGATACGGCGGGGTGTAAGAAGGCCTCGAGACCTCCCTGCATGTGCTGACTGCAGGCAAAAGTCCGCAACGCACATGTCCAACAGTCCGAGACGATGAGCTTATACAAATCGAAATTGATTTCTTAGCCGTCGGTTATCAGCGAGAACCATCAATCATATGGGTCACGGCATATGGATGTCTGGGAATCGACTCGGTTCTCGAACCTCCATGGTTGTTCTATGCTTCTATATGATATTATGCTCGCGTCTATCGAGCACCTTGATCGATCTCGGTGATTTTTATGCCTCTCGAAGCCCTGGTATCCGTGCCAATTGAGCCAGGTTGGGGAGCCGACGGTGCTCGTCTGTTTGAATAGATGCATCCAATACATATTTTTGTCCATCCGCACCGAAAATCGGGCTGAGATTAGTTTCCCTAGTCTGATTACAGACACGCTAGCTGTATGCAGTTGCTGATAGGATGAAGAGTCGATAAATCCAAGGTATATTCTCGGCTCACCAATATCTTTGCGGAGTACGCAGAGTGAAGTGAGATTCACCCTAAGATGAATGGAAGTTATCTAATTCTTGGGGTCCGTCTGACTTGTCTAGTTTTAAGTGATATAATAAAATAAGAGCAATGCTTATCACAGGTCAGGTCCTGTAGCTCAGTCGGTTAGAGCGTGGTGCTAATAACGCCAAGGTCGCGAGTTCGACCCTCGTCGGGACCATTTAAGTAGCCTGATTGTCTTCTTTCTTCTTCCTTTTTTTTTTTCTTCCCCCCTCCTTCTTTCTGGTTCATTCCCCACGATGAAGTGGTTGTAAAGAAAATACCAAGCAAGATATGGGTCAGCAACCATAACATCATACTCGATTAAAGTTCGTATATGTACTATTTATCATAATGGTTGACTGCTCCAGTGTATCACACTATCCCAAAGCCTGAACGCGTAGCGGTAAAGGAAATACCCTACTCGCTCCCCATCTCATCACGTCTAAAGCTTGGCGACTTCCCTGGAACGCCGACCCTTTGCAACCGCTCGGGCATACGGATGTGACGGAGAGTCAGGAACTAAATGATCAATATCGCCCGTGTGGACCATATGTGGACCGGCTTCATCAAGTGTCGTAATCCCATTGTTCCGCATGGCTGTTTCCAGCTCATCTTTCATAACTGCAATGGCTGGTTAGCTTCATATGCTGAGAAGTGCGGGGACATCACCTACTGTCTATCAGATGTTCGACTCCCTCCTGCCCGTAATTCGTGGCAAAGAGCATGCTGCGCCCCATGCCAACAGCGGTGGCACCTAGGCAGATGGCTTTGAGTATATCCGTGCCGCGACGGATTCCGCTGTCCACATATATCTCCATCTTGTCGAAAATCTCCGGACAGCGTTTATGAAGCTCAAGTAGAGTGACTATCGAGGGAGGGCTCGTGTCAAGATTGCGACCTCCGTGGTTGCTGAGAAGAATGCCATCTAACCCAGCCTGCATCGCCAAGATGGCGTCATCCGCAGACATCACTCCCTTCAGACACACGGGTAGATGGGTATGCTTTCGCACCCACACCAAGTCTTCCCAAGTGAGTCCAGGGTCAATGAAGCCGGCCATAACACGTCCGAGGCCACCGCCCTTCTTGTCGTTCTTCGCTCGAGACGGTGCCATGGGGACAGATAAGTTTTCGTCGGCTTTGACTCGCTCATCCGCCTCCCGCTTGCCCGGCCATGCAGCATCGACTGTCACAAAGATTGCCTTGACGTTCGGATTGGCCGAGCATTGGTGAAGAAGTGCTGCGGATTTTTCTCTATCCCGATTGACGTACAGCTGGAAGAAGAAATTGGCCGAAGGAGCGGCTTCCTGAAGTTGATCCAGAGTGTACGAGGAATTGTTGGAAACCTGCCCAATAATGAGTACTAGATCTTGACAAGGTACAATGGGACGGAATGGGGATATAAGATCATGACGTACTCCTTGCATGATACCTTTGCGCTCACAAGCCCTGGCAATTGCACACTCTCCATCCGGATGAATAAGCTTAGCCATAGCGGCCGGGCTTACGAACAATGGCATGCTACAATCGACCCCGAGAATCCTTGTTCTTGAACTAACCGAGCGGACGTTTCTGAGGACTCGAGGTCGAAACCATATCCTGTCGAAGCAAGATTTGTTCGCATCGCGGGTGATGAGATCAGTCGAGGCGCTGGAATAAAATGCCCACGTCTTTGTGCTTGCTGTCTTGGACGCCACGAGTTCGAAATCGTGTGAGTTGATCAAAGTGTGCAAGGGCGGCTTTTCGTTGTCCAGGACGACATGTGGATTCTCGCTGGGAGGCTGCTTGAGCCATTCATCATCGATTGTGGACGTGTCGAGAATTCCCTTGTACTTCTCTGGCAGTAGATTTGATTTAATGACACCTGGAGAGTGAACCTCTGAGTAGGCCTTCGTGGCATCACGACCCGCGTATTTCAGAATGACTGAAAAATGTGAGCTTTTGAGTTCAGTGTCCAGCGAAACCGCCAAATCTTACTTGATGACCCTCCGGGGTGTTCCTCCACAAAATCAGTTATGTCCCATACTTTATTATCAACAACGATCCAACAATCATCAGGCGTTCTGTGTTTTGACACCTCTTGAGAGGATAGAAGCTTCTCGCCAGCCATTTGTACTTTCCTGAAATTTGTGGAGATTACTGTTTGCAGGACCAATCTTTTCAATAACTTCAAGCCACAAGGAATTATACTCGAGGAAAAGCAGGAGATGAGCCTGAAACGAATCCCGAGAGGCCCTGTTGGTTATATAGACCGTAGCGGCATGGCACTTCGGAGAGCTCTCCACGTAGGGGTCTCAATCAAAGTGCGGAGAAGCAATTGGCGTTATTGTTGAATTTTGGCTCCACCGCGGCCTGGTGCCGCGCTTGGGGTTCACAACTAGCCTGGAGTCCTGGAAAGCATAAACAATTAGTGAAGGGCTGACTGATCCACGAATCAAAATTATTTTGGCTTGTTAAATTCGGGATCAGAATACCGAAGGTGCTATCTGTATTGTGCTCATCAATGAGGCTTGATGCCTCAAGGAATCACAAAAAAAAAAAGAAAAGAAAAAGCGAGTACCTCTCTACACTGGTGGGGAGGATGTCTGCTTGTATGTGTGGTAACTCAGCAGAGATGGGTACGAAAGAAGCAACCCACTTTACCTGTCTCTACTCCTGTTGTCTTTCTTCATGAAGCAGAACATACCACTTCACTACTTGTTGCAAACATTGACTCTTGCTGTCGCTCTTTCATGGACCGAACTGCTGCTGTCTCGGTCGAAAGCATCGGGGGCACCGCCGATAAAACCAGTCGAAATCGGGTTTCGCTCCGGGGAGGGCTTATCGTCCAGTGCAATTCAGCACGTGCATCTTCTCTAGCCACATAGGGGCGCAGGCTATCTGTGGCTAAGCACTACTGGGCACAATTTGAGAAATCTGATTGAAGCGTCATGTATTCCAACAGATGATACTTGCTTCCCAAGGATCTTATATTGCCCACTGAGAGTGCTCGGAGTGACTTGGTACATCTTGAACGAAGTGACTCATTGTCTGATGCGTGTGACTCTCAGCGTAGGCAATATTCTGAAGGCTTTCGGGAATAGTAACTCTTTCCTCAGTTGCGTAGGATTCAGGATCAGAGAAAAGTCCCTCAACCTACACTCGCAACTGCCTCTCAATCGTCCTAAAAACAGTACAGGTATGTTTAGACGGGTAAATCCAATCCCACAGTGGAAGGAATGCTCCTCTGCTCATAGGTTTAGATGGATTGGAAACGGTAATACTGCAGATTGGCTCACGACAAATACAGTCTCAGGGAGCAGTCTGCTAAAACCAGGACGTATATCCTATTATTCTTTATCGAACAGTCAAAGATATTACTATTCTACTGTTCTACAAAAAATACCAACCCAAGTCAAAATGTGTGATTCCAACAAGCCCTTGAGATATGTTGATGTAAGTGTCTCTTCACAAGCATCGCATATCTGCAGTAGCTGTTGCTGAAATTGACTGCTTCTAGATCGGAATCAACCTTGGTGACCCTGTATTTCGAGGAGAATATCACGGCAGGCAGGTTCATGAAAACGACCTTGATGATATCATTCAGCGTGCCCGTGATGTGGGGTGCACGAAGTTCATGGTGACTGGTTCAGATCTAGTAGAGTCTCGGCATGCTGTTCAGCTTGCTCAGAGTTACCGTACGTTCCATAAAACTTCCCTTCCCCATTCTTTCTTTGTGTTGTCAACCCTAACAAGCTCGGCTGCCAGCCGGTTTCTGTTACGCAACTGTTGGTGTTCATCCATGTCAAGCAAAGCTCTTCGACGAATTTCCTGGCGGTCCAGAGAAGATGCTGGAGGAGCTGAAATCTCTGGCGCTGGAAGCAAAAGATGCCGGGCATGCTGTTGCATTCGGTGAAATCGGTCTAGATTACGACCGACTGTTCCTCAGCGCCAAAGAACCTCAGCTGAAATATTTCGAAGCTCAACTGGATCTTGCTGTGGAAATACAGCTCCCGCTCTTCCTTCATTCCAGAGCTGCCAGTGAGGATTTTGAGAAGTTGCTGGCTCCTAGGCTGGAGAAACTTCCCAAGAAAGGCTTGGTGCACAGTTTCACCGGGACAATGGAGGAGATGAAACGGATCGTGGCACTGGGTTTGGACGTCGGTGTCAACGGATGCAGCCTGAAGACGGAAGAGAACCTGGAGGTGGTGAAAGCTATCCCACTCGATCGAATCCAGATAGAGACAGATGGCCCATGGGTATGGAGTTTTCATCTCCCTTGCAACGTCCTTCCTTCTCTGACTGACGTGGTATCTTCTAGTGCGAGATCCGGCCCTCGCACGCATCTTCCAAGTACCTGGAGGGTGCACCCGCGTTGCCCAAGGCAGTCAAGAAGGAGAAATGGCAGAAAGGACTCATGGTCAAGGGCCGCAACGAACCCGTTGCGATAGCCCATGTCGCCCACGTCATCGCTAAATTAAAAGATATGACCGTGGAGGAGGTTTGCGAGGCGTACGTTATTCAAATTGGGACTTGTGGCCACGCCGCAGCTGACTTCTTCATACTTAGGGCTTGGAACAACTCGATAAGAATGTTCGGACTCGGAGAGGAAGTGTCGTAACTCTTTGCTCTCTATGATTTGAAGCTGCTCACCGGAAGGGGAGGGAAACAGCGATATCTCAAGGGCCTTCCATCCGCGACTGTTGGCCATTTGCTTGGGATTTGTTAAGCCCAGTCATTCTGTCCATACCCAAATTTTGACTCTGATAGATAGAAATGGTTGCAAGCGTGTCAATGAACTTTGTTTTCCAATGTCCACGGCCAAGGTGTCAGACATGATTCAAACTGACCGAAGCTCTTCTTATTCGAACGTTTTAGGCGTCGATTGACACAGTTGACACCGTCTGACAAAGAAAGCAGTCCATTTTTCAATCACCACAAAAGTGACTCAGCAGAGAAAGAGACCTCAACTGTGACTGTTTGCTCCTGCCATGATATTCTGGGTCTGGACTATAACAGACCCAATTTGTGGTTATCTTTATTGAAGCAATATGCTGTGACAAGAGTTGGTAACTACATTTTTACTTGCAATTGCTGAATGCCTTCAGCTAGATTTTGTTTCCTAGGCTCCAATCTAGGCCTGTTTTATACCGGATATCTCCAGGTCAAGCTCTTGCTAGCGCAGTTTGTGTCAATCCATGCCATTCACACTGTTGATATCTCGCCTCTGTTAGCTCACCGCCCATACTGCTTCAACAGTCTTATGTCTCACGGTCTTTGTTGTTGTTGCTATTGACAAGATAACGAAGACGACCTACTCACTGATCTATTCTCTCCCTCGCTTATCCATCCTTTCTCTTGACACTCTCGAATTCCTCCATCATGGCCTCTCTTCAAGCTCTTTTGTCTGCTTGAACACCAGTTCATAGGGCGATCAACTTCCTTTCCTTGGTCTCTTCCATAGAGCTGACGCCCCGTCTCGAGAGACTCTTACAACCCCCTTTGGAACCTGCTGTATCCAGACCTCTGACTCGATAGACACTTCTCAAAGCTTGTTGTTCTGTGTTCCCCTGTCTCGAGGCATATCACAGGGACCTGAAGGTTCTCTTCAAACAAGGGAGCGTTGAGCCCACCAAGACGCGTCAAGGCTGCGCTGATTTCCACCTGTATCAGAGGGAACATCACAATGGCTATGCCACTTAGTGAGAAGACTTCCAATAGCTCCCTTAGGGGTAAAGCGGGTGATTATTCTTCTCTTTGTATATTGACCTTCACAGTGAACTATCCACTAATTAGAACGCGTCGAGCAGGCGAGAGGTCTCGTCTTAGAGAAACATCATTCGAATCTGAGATCATCCACACTGAAAAGTTGCCTACAAACTTCGGAGAGGTTGTCAAAGGCGTCTATAGAAGCTCTTTTCCGCAACCTTGGCATTTCCAAGCACTAAAGAAGCTGGGCCTCAAGATGATTGTGTAAGTTGCCGCCATACCAGATCATTACCCCTTGCTTACGCTTGTCCTCATAGTACATTTGTTGAAGGAGAATACACTCAGGATTACCAGGTCTTTCTCAAAGAGAACGGTATCGAGCATCGTCGCATTCTTATCCTGGCGAACAAGGATCCCATGGTTCGCACCCCAGACGATGTTGTGAATCGAGTCCTGGAAATTATACTCAACAAAGCAAATCACCCACTCCTTCTGCACTGCAACAAGGGAAAGGTAAGCGCAAAGCCTGATATTACGAATTAGACATGACTAACTAGACTTGATAGCATCGGACTGGATGCATTGTCGGCTGCTTTCGGAAGGTTCAGGGCTGGGACATGCCAGCTATTCGTAAGGAATACATCCATTTTTCCTGGCCAAAGTCAAGGCCCCTTGACGAAGGATTCATTGAACTTTTCGATGAGACCAGACTCAGACCTCTCGCTGTTACTTCGGGTGCAATCTCATGGCCTGCCGGCGTCATACTCAATCCGCTTCGCGAAGAAATTGTCGAGGACGAGAATACCCCGAGAAGCCGTAGACAGTCTTCTGGCAGTGTATTACACAAGTCCGACGCTATCTGAATATAGCACACTTTGCATGACTATCACACCATCTGATGAAGGACTGGATGTCTTTGACGAGCACGATTCTACCAATCTCGAAACAATGTCATTTCATGGAGCACGGAGCACGGGGCTTTCATTGGGCCGGCGCATGTTGATTGATAATTGACCTTGATATCTCTGTTAGATACCCTACGCTTTGTTGACTGATGCTACAGTGGTGTGTTTAGTGTATGGTGTTGCGAATGGACGATGGTTCGAGCTAGTATGAGGAATCAGGGGGTGGTTTGTCTTAATTTGTTTGAGAATAGATGGATAATCGATGGCTGCACGGTTGTCTTCTCTTATTAGCTTAATAAAACACCGAGTACGCATTTTCTTTGGCTAAAATAGGATACCTTTGATTGAGAACGCAGCCTATCGCGCCTATTTGAAAAAGCGTCAAGTTTTAGTATCTCTATGTAATTAATGTATATACTGTAGAATGTCATCCATGCAGATAGATATCCTGCAGCTCGACGGCCAATTTTTAGAAATTATAGAATCCAAATGTGGTCACACAGCATCAAGTCACAGTCTTCATCTGAAGCCTCACGAGTCCCCGATACGCTAGGACTATAGGGGAGAATTTGTGGGCTCGTCAGCTCATCTTCGAAGCAGTCAGATGCAAGCATCTCGCCATCACTCATGGAAAGCTGGCACGAAAGTTGCTCTGAAAGATCGAGTACAGATATCGCGGTTCTGTTCTGGGTATGGTCAAGTATTACCTGATCTGGCAAAATTTGATCAAGTTCGGTATCGTCATGTCCAAGCATATCAGTTGAATTGTTTGAATAATTTCCATCGAAGGATAAAACGGAGTTCGTTTCGTCTTCCTGCTGGAACCCGGGATCATCGGAATCGTTTCCCAAATAACAATCGGAATCATATATCTCGTGCTTTCCACTATTCAGATCATCGTGAAAGTCATCCATGCCTACCTCCGACAAAAGATCATCTTCAGCTCCTCTGTAATCGTCGGTGAAAGTAGCCAGGGCATCTGATGCACTCAGTTTCCGCGAAGCTCGGGAATCATATAGTTGCCTTTGGGCAATCTTCCAGAGCGAAGTCTGTATTGCTGATCTAAAGTCGGTCGACCCTGTTGCTTGCGACGAAACTTCTGTTCGAGGATTATGCAAAGCTTGCAGATCGTTGATTCTGCTTTGCAAAGTCGGATTTCTCGTCGTCTTCAGAATTGAAGCTAGGGACTTCGCGATGGACGGAATCAGGTGGGATCGCTGGTTCATGGCCTGTGGATGGAGAAATGTGTGTCAGTCATATGCGCCCATCTTGCTGAAAGCTAAATCCGGAACAGTACCTCACGGTAGCCTAAGCTGAACACCGAAGGCACAATGCGTGACAGTGGTTGGAAACCCCTATCTCCTGAGCCTTGAGTGCCTGTATCACTCCGCCCGCGCCTTTCCACGATGAGCGATCGAAGCCCTTTCCTTAGAAGTTGATCAAGCTCGTGATGAATCTGACTATCACGGTCTTCCTCCGGTCGGTAGTCGTCTTTCATATCCTCGAGCTCCTCCAAGAACATCAGTGTGCTGCCGTCCATACATTCGTCGTTTACGCAGTCTGTTTGCGTCAAAGGAAGCTTTGGAAAGCCTTGCAGGCTTTTTACCGTGCTCCATTGCTCGGGACTGACTATAAGTGTTTCAGGAGGTATTGGCATTGGCAGGTTCGGTGCTATTGGGAAGCATTTCTGTCTGGCTTGGTTCGAGTCATAGAGTTCAAGAAACACGTTTATCGTAGACAAGTATGCCGTGTGTATGTTCGCAGGAGGAGCAGCATCACCGTTGTGTTGCGCTGACATTGGTACTCGGGAAATTCTGTCTGTTGACGGCCGTCCAGTTTTTCTCCGCAATCCAAAGGAAAGTTTGAGGGTCGTTGAATTGTGCATTCCGGAACAATGGTCGCAACTTCTGAGTAAGACAGCAAGATCCAAATCTGACCAGAGCTGCAGGGTGTCTGTTAGAATATGGGTTGATCAAAGCCCGTGTAAGTGGCTTTTGGCCCATAATAACGTACTTTCGACTTGCGAAGGATATCCCCGATGTGAGAGAACAAAGGTGGAACTGACTCGGGAAAACGAGCTCTGGCAGTAGCGACGACATGCATTTTGATTTCCGGTGATTGGGCTATCCATATCAATCCAGAATCCATCAGTTCCCTTGGATCCTCAGGGTATTCGGAATTCAGATTTCCTGCAAGAGATATGTCCAACGATGCACGTAGCATCAGAGACAAATCTGAGTAGGAGTGTGAGAGATGGATTGTATCTTGCCCTAGATCAATGGTCAGGGCCATGGTAAATGATGATTCAGAGCTCTCAGCAGTAATTGATGATTCTCTGAGCTGTTAGAAAGGGACTGGATTGGCAGGTTTTCTCTGTACCTTACCTTAGCGTTCTTCACGCAGGGGTGGCTGCATTACCTTATCAAATGGGAAGACATACAGCAGCAGTCATGGTCAGGTACCTTACGTATCTATCAGAAGCAGCTTATGGTTTCCATTTTACTTACTACATTTAATAAACATACTACTGCACAGACTATGAAATCAATCCTCGCTGTGGGATTGTAAGTACATTAACACTATGCACATTCAGAAAAGGAGATGATTTGATCACCATCATAAAAAGGAGATCGTGGATCTAGCATATGCTTACTCTTCCATTTAACCTGGGCCTGTCCATAATTGAAATACTCACACTCTCCTGTCAGATGTAGATCAAATATGGCGCAGATGTTTAGCAGATGATCAGCATAACATGTGGAAGTATAACTTGTAGATATGATTGGCTCCAGTCTTTCTTTGTCTGCTTATCGATAAGCGCCGTCACGTGTGAATCTTCGTGGTTACCTGGCCCCAAACGACAATCCGTTCATGAAGAAGTGAGTTTACCATGAGCTTCAAAATCAGCAATGAAAGAGGATGAAGGACGGGAATCTCTATTGCTTGACCATTATGGTCCGGATGGAGGAGAATCTCAATCGCTGCTCTCGGGATCTTCGAGCAAAGAACCCGATCTGACAGCCCATCTCCGTCCAAATAGTCCTCCCCTGACCTCCCCGTCTGCTCATCCTGGTTCGCACCAATATCGATCGTCGATATCTCAGCCTGCTCCGGATGGGCAACGTCGTCCTCCTCGTACAATGAATCGTGTTCGTTTTGACATTGAAGAAGAATTGGAAGAGGAAAGTCACGCGAATGGACACGCTCGCGACTCGGAAGACTCGTGGCTGGAGGAGGAGGATTATGCGCGGCCAAATGCGAGCCGATCGGGAAGAGGTGGCAGAGATCAGATGGTTCCTCTCCTGACGGATATAGAGGCCCCCAGTGTAACCCTTGCGACCTCCGAGGATTTCTTCCCCGAGGATCACCTTGAGAGCGCCAGGCCGAGGAGCGGAATGCGGATGGCTTTCATGAATATGGCCAACAGCATTATAGGAGCTGGTATCATCGGACAACCTTATGCGCTTCGGCAGGCGGGCATGACAATGGGAGTTTTACTCTTATGCGCGCTCACAGTCGCAGTGGATTGGACGATTCGCTTGATTGTGGTCAATTCTAAATTGAGCGGCGCGGATTCCTTCCAAGCAACGATGCAGCATTGTTTCGGGAAAAGTGGTCTCGTTGCGATCTCCGTTGCTCAGTGGGCTTTTGCATTTGGCGGCATGATTGCATTCTGTATAATTGTGGGGGATACTATACCGCATGTTTTCAGCTCTTTGTTTCCTTCCCTCCGGGATATGTCCTTCCTCTGGCTCCTTACCGACAGGCGGGCTATCATTGTCCTTTTTGTCCTGGGCATCTCATACCCATTATCTCTGTACCGGGACATTGCCAAGGTGCGATTCTTATATTCTCTATGCAGCGGACGAATATTTCCGAGGCTAACAATGTAATAGCTGGCTAAGGCGTCTACGTTAGCGCTCATAAGTATGTTGGTGATTGTCGTGGCTGTAGTGACCCAGGGGTTCCGAGTTCCCTCAGAATCTCGTGGAGAGGTGAAGAGCCTGCTTTTTGTCAACTCCGGTTTCTTCCAGGCCGTGGGAGTAATATCTTTCGGTAAGTCTGCCTTGTCTAAAGAACCTGAAGTCGTGCGAGATTATGTCTAACAGACCATAGCCTTCGTTTGCCGTATGTTACCGCCACATATACATAATCCACAAGACCCTGACTGACCGTCCGAAAGACCACAATAGTCTCTTAATTTATGGTTCTCTCAAGAAGCCAACCATGGATCGCTTCGCAATGGTAACCCATTACTCAACCGCCGTCTCCCTTTGTATGTGCTTGGTTATGGGTATCTCAGGCTTCCTCTTCTTCGGATCCGAGACCCAAGGCAATGTGCTCAACAACTTCCCTTCTGATAATGTAATGGTCAATATCGCACGGCTGTAAGACCTCCTGCATACGGCTAATAACCATTGCTTGAGCTGACATCAAATTGTTCGCAGGTGCTTTGGCCTGAATATGCTCACAACACTGCCGCTTGAAGCCTTTGTTTGCCGATCAGTCATGACGACCTACTACTTCCCCGAGGAGCCCTTCAATATGAATCGACACTTAATATTCACGACGTCCCTGGTGGTGACAGCTATGGCCATGGCGTTGTTCACTTGTGATCTCGGAGCTGTATTCGAGCTCATTGGCGCAACAAGTGCTGCTGCTTTGGCGTATATATTCCCTCCGCTTTGTTACGTGAAATTAAGCAATGCGAGTTGGAAAGCCAAGATTCCCGCATTTCTGTGTATCGCCTTTGGTATCACAGTTATGGGAGTCAGCCTGTTGCAAGCTGTTGCAAAGATGATAAGCAGTGAGTTTGGGCCCTTGAGGTTGATCTTCTTGGAAGTAAGATCCGCTAACTGGAGAATTCCGCTTCGATAGACGAGGGTGGCACGAAAACTTGCAGTGCTTAGCAAGCAGTAATGTCTGTCAAAATATCCGACTGCACCTTTGATCGGCCCATAGGCGTCTCTCTCAGTCACTGGGACCGTTGTACATATACCGCATTACTCACAAATATACTGAACTCTTACTTATGAGAGCATACTGACATGGCTGACAGGAAGTGTCTCATTGTAGTTCTGAAGAGTCCGGTTTGAGGGTATTCTTTCCAGATACAGTGAAGCTGATTCTTTGACACATCAACTCTAAAGGCTCTAGTTGCATCTGATGTGATTTGGGATACTCTGTGTATGACACTAATCCTTGTTCAACTGCTCCCGACTGAGGCTCATGAACAGAGAGACACAGTGGTCTTCATACAATTGATAGAGTCCTTCCGTTTTAGTCCATTAATTGCGTTTGCACTCTGACGCCGTAGCAACCCACTGAACATCCCCAACACATTTCTTTGTTATTTTTCTTCTTCTCTCTTTTTCTCACACTCCCCTATTTTCTCTTTCTCTCTCACTCACTTATTCTCTCTTGTTTCCCCTACACAATTTTCTGATCTTTCAAGCAGTTCATTGTTCCCTTACCTCACTTGTATAAGATTGTTGACTACCAAACTGCCATAATCATGAAGGGGACAGTCGTCCTTCCTACAGACTTTCTTTAGAACTTTGGGAAGAGTTTTCCTTGATCTTCTTCAGGCATCTTCTGATTCTGAACTGACGGAAGAGCTTGCGCTACTTGCATCTTGACGGTATTCTAATTTATATTCGACTCTTATCAACAGAGAGTGGTGGGCCCTCTGTTGGTTCTCCTGGTGTGCCTTACTCTCAAAGCTACATTCACTCATTCTATTCATCGTGTCTGGCTCTGGAAACATACAGCCGTTAGAACTTTTGCTTACCCAGTTCCATCCTCGTACGTTCATATCTTGCAGATTTGACAAGTCATCATGGAAAAAGAGGCAATTGAGCGTCTGAAGATGCTCCAAATGGTAAGATCATTGCGCCTTATTGATCCCTTTACGAGATGTTTGTAGGAGAGTCTGACTGACACTGAACTGCGCATATATAGGAGGACCTTGGGACGCTTAGAAGAGAGTATATCTCGACTGTAGACACCAAGAAATTCAGGAATATTCGCTTGGAGGATATTGAAGCCACGCGAATGATAAATGTTGCTGGATCAGACGCTGCGCGTCTGGCCAAAGCGAATCAAGCACGCCTCAACGCTTGGACAAGTGAGCTCCTTTCACTACATTAAAAATTATTCAGATTATTGGCTAAGCCTTGCGAAAGATGCACACAAGGATTTAGGCGACCCCGCCGATCAAGAGCCGTTAGATCATCTTCTGAACGGCCAGAGCCACCGTCTTGGACTGCGCGCCGTGATAGAAGGGAGTGGTGGCCAGTCTTACTCAAAATCAACCAAGAAGAATGACAATTTCCTTCAGGCTGCGGAACATGCTCCGAGCGGCCGCTCTGCATCGACGAGAGGCTCCAAATTAACCGGCCGTGGCGGCGGTGTCATCGGTACAAGAGGTTGTAAGACAAAGCAGACCTCGCCAAAGTAAGTGATCGATCCCATTAGCAAGCCCATGAGCCTGGCCTAACCGGTAGATTAGCACTCAGACAAGAGTCACACACCAAGGCGCCGTCGCAAAGCTGGGCAACCACGTGGTCCAGTCCCCTCACGCCAGGAAGCACCTGCAGGATCCTGCTCTTGATATTAATAATGAACCGCCGAAGAAGACTCGGGGGGTATCTGGCTCGAAGTCGCAAACATTTGTTAAAGGTGGTAAGTGCAAGCCTCTGCGAGCTTGAAAGAAAGCAACCGACTGACTTTTCCGAGAAGGCGGGAAAAAAGAACTCGTTCTTCTCAAAACTAGACGGCCTGTGTAAGTTCAACATCCACCGAGCCTTGGACACAACCTGACATTGTGCGATAGTAGCAATACCGATTGGTCGAGAGTCCTCAGCCCTCCTCAGGACTTTCTTTCTATCGCGCGCGATCGTCTGGTCAACGCAAGGGCTTCGAATGTCCCAACAGCTGTTGGTAGCAAGGGCTCTGAACAAACTCAAGTCACAGTCTGCCAGCGTGAATCGCGGGCCGTTGATCACGAAAGTTCCCAATCTATCAACCAACCTGAAGAGATCAATGCGGGCCGAGCATACGAGGACTCCATCGTTTCTTTCCGTTCAGACGGAGATTCAGTGGTAATCGCTACGCCTGTGTCCTCTAATAATGGTCAACCCGCACAGGTAAGCCTAGCCCAGGCAGCTCATACAGCGAGCGAAAGAGACCAGCGGGTTGAGCCCAGGAGACTACATTTCCCACAGCAAGAGAAACCACAACAAGACAAACCCGCCCCTGAGAAATTAGACGACAAAGCGGAAGTTGGGAAGCAAAATCAAGACGACGAGCTGGTCGATGTCTCATCGCAGCCGTCCAGCTCAACACCAGTCGTACAGAGCAAAGATATCTACTTTCTCAATGTCCAAGCCGAGGGAAGGACTGGAATTCTCCTTGACTTCAATTCCACTCCTCCAAGCAAGAGTCTTCCGGACGCGGAAGATGGCTTGTCGATGAGTTCAGCCATGCAAGATTTGGAAGGCATCAATTTTCAAGCAAATTTCGCACAGAGTGTTCTTTCGAGGCCAGAAATGCAGATACACTCCCTCATCAAGTCTGAGCTAGTCGGTTCGAATGACTCCTCCAGCCTGAGGAGCGGAGAAAGCACAGGTGATACGACGACCTCTACATCCGATGATACACCATCCGATCTGGCTGCCCTCCGAGAAAAGCTCGCGCGCCTCTGCAAATTTGTGGAGGAAACATTGCGCCAACATGTGCCCGAGCCGCTCCGAGATATGGACTTGCAAGCTCTCAAGAAGTACGAACAAGAGCTCAAAGACGTACTTTCCTTGCACCAACGAACAGTCAAGGAAGCTGCCTCACAGACTGCCGAAAAGCGGCAGGAAATTCTCTCCTCTCACAAATCCCAGGGAACAGAAGCTGAAAAAATCATGGAAGGAGAACATTCCAAGATATTATCCCCCACACCGTCGGTCTGCTCTCCTCCCGTGGGAACTCCTCTTGAGGAAAGTAATAGTAGACTTAGTCTGCCTCCTGAGGACACCCCTAGTCCGTCTAAATTCAATGTGCAAGCGAAGCCGTTCGTTCCGAACGTTGCTGGCAGGAATTCCAGTTTCAGCGGATGGCGTGATACTAAGAGTAGCCCTCCAAGCTCAACAACCTCTGAGTCACGAAATGGCCAGTCTCAGCATTCTCGCCAGAATAGTCAAGACCATATGCCTATTGATTCGATCGGTTCGGTTTCTCCACGATTTACATCTCAGCCCCCACCGCGCGGACGTCAGGCCAGTGAGGATCAGGATCATATCTTTGGTGATCATTTATTACCCGGTAGGGGCAGACCCCATGGTAAGATACATGGGATGGAAGCATTATCGCCAGATAAGAACGTGTTGAATGGCACGTATTACCACATGTTGATCTCTACCCAACCATTGCTGACGTCTCATTTGTGTAGAACCGAATGATTCTTGTTCAAAATTATCGACTCCAACCAAGCCACAAGCCTTTACTGTGCCTAGAGCCAGACCTTCCGTCCCCCAAAGCATAAACAAGTATGAACCATCAAACTTGAAATTCGTCAAGATCACTAATGTGTCGTGCAGTGCCGGTGAACCTTCTCCGAAGCTTGTCGGGTTGGCAACCACTGGGCCAGGGACCGGGGCCAATGGTGTGAAGCCAAATTCAGTCTCAGGCCAATCTACTCCTACTCCTCGGGCAGTCAAAGCAATGGATACAGCTATTTCAAGGGTGAATGCATTGCAAAAGTCTATGCATGCTCCAAAGGCGCAAGAGAATCCCCCGACCATGAGAAATCCCAGTGCCTCACCATTCGGCGGCCTCGGAGGCTCGATCTATGCGACCCCCGTGGCTCAAAAGCCTATTACCCCAGCCCCCGAGATTCGCAAGTCAAGTGGCCTTGAAGGCTCGAGGTGGGCAAGTTCTGAGACTCAAAAACCACTACGTTAATGATCGCACGCAAGCATGAATTGCGTTGTCTAATTGTCTCTTTTGACTGATATCGTTCTTTTTCCTTTCCATCTCTTGATTATGTGTTTATGAACCTTCTTCGAATGTGACATCTGTACGATTAGCTAGCGTTTGCTGTTGTTTGTCCCCCTTTGTGTCGTTTCCCTGCTTCAGCACTCCTACCTTTCATATGTTATTGTGATCGTCATTGCCCTTTTCAATATCTGTACTTCTTTTGTTGCTCTTGAGAGCACCTTCCTCATGCCCCATCGTATGTAGGCAAGATCAGTAGCGAAAAGAGTGCAGCGGAATTATCTCCCATCAGAGCACAAGCATTCTGACTATATGACGGTGCTACATTGCATACACAGTTACTAGATGGATTGAGACTAATATGGAAATCTGTTCGTCTGCAGAGTGACGTGACGAAGGCTTGCAATGCTTCGTCGAATTCACTGGACTGTCGCATGATGCTGTCCTGACAGCTCTCCCTGGTGGAACCATGTGATTGAGAAAGTGGAATATGCAAAGAAAAGCTTACTTCTTGTCATCTTAAGCTTAAGGGCTATATATAATTAGAGCTCAAATGATCCTTGACGGTAAGCAAGCGATATAGGTCACATCTATCAGTTCTTTCCTTGCGCGGAATCAAGCAACCGTGTATTGCTTCTCAATCATTCAGCCATTAAGGCCGGTGACACGAACAGTAAGTGCCCAAGGCTAAAGATGAAGACATAGATATAAAGTCAGTAAACTTCATGCAATGACCAAATGCAAATCACGATCCAGTGGCTTCCATCCGCCGTCCCAGTAACTATGCAGTTGTCGCCTAAACACCGGCTACTCAACAAATTCTCTATAAAATGACAATCAGGAAGTGAATGAACAAAACGAGCGTGAGAGATCAAGTATGCTCTATTGCTGCTGTTGCTGCTGCGGCGGTGAGGGCGGCTTCGAATTTCCATCAATCTTGGGTCTTTTGGGATCAATGGCATTGACTACTGAAGCAGGCCCGCTGCTGCCAGAGACAGATGCATTCGTCACGTCACTTAAAGGCGGTCGTTTCCCATTAACATTGGGTGGTCCAAAGCCGGCTCGGTTTGCGGCTGCGTTGTTTGCAGCAAGTTTAGGATCGAGGTTTTGCCGAGTTAGTGGACGATATGATGAGGTCGTCTGACCCCGATTCATCATTGGACTGCCAATGCCGCCACCAGGGGCACCAATTTTTCGATGCATTTCCGTGGAAGGATTGATGAAGTCGCGCGTATTATTTGAAGCTGGTGAGACTCCCGCAAGCATTGGCCTCGATATGGGGACACTCTTGCTGTGATCGACACCCGCTGTCTTGCGGATCGAGGGACTTTCGGCATGGGGATCGAATTGGGGAGCGTTCACGGCAGTATGTGGGTTTTCCCGCAGCAAATCTACTGCTCGAGCTGAAAAGAATGAGGCAGGCGGAACAGAGGGTGAACTGGGTGGAGGAGCTGTGTCCTGAGCTTTAGCGTCAAATTCTCGCTTGATAGGTATCTGGCCTGCAGCGCTTGGCAAGCTTGAATCTTGGCTAGTCCTTGGTTGATCCGGGGGTACCATTCTGCCGCTTTGAAAGTTCTGCTGTTGTCCTTGCGGAAGAGGTTGCCTTTGTCCCACATGTGGGTTTTGCAGCGCAGGATTGTATCTTCCATTGAGAGTGGGTGGAACGGAGGGTTGTCTATTGTTGAGTGTTTGGTTGAAAGGCCTTTCTGGCCTAGAAGGTGTCACAACTGCTGGGTTTGGGCGGTGAAAGTCACCCTGAGGGCCTCCATTGAAATTCCGTGCATTTACAGGCGTCGGTGGTTGCGGTTTTGTCTGGGTTTCTGGTTCCAGCACTATCTCGTCCGGGTTTCCAGTGGTCGTCACTCCAAAATCGGCCTCGTCAAAGAGATCACCTAAATTCATTATCCATGAGTGAACAGAAGAAATAAACATCGTCTGTTTTGCTTACTTCCGAACTCCCCATCACCATCAAACACAGCAGTATCATTCGTACTTGTGCTTTTCCCAGCATTTGCTGGCCGAGGAGGAAGGTCGTCATCCTCTGGGACTGGTTTTGGTCGAACAGGCTCCTTCTTTATCGGTGCGTAGTCAGGGTGCCGGTGAAGTTCGTCAACATCCCATCTCGCCTATAGCTTGGTCAGGACAAGACATTGTTCGAGTATCATTCCGAGGTTGGCAACATACAGGTGTGGCTTTCACTTTGGTGACTTTCGAAACATAATCCTTGTCGTAGATGCAGTTACCCAGAACGTTGCCAAAATTCCTCAATGCACGTTTAAGGGCATCGGTAGTTCCTTCTTTCTTGGCCTTTTCAAAAGCAGCGGCCTTTCCTTTGCAATTCTCAATATGACCGTAACCGATGTCCTAAGTTGATCAAGACCAGTTAGTAAGAACGTCTGTGTGGGATTCGTAACCGTGGACACGTACTTCATGGTAAGTACCATCCTTCAGTGTTACCCTCACAATGACCGATAGCCCCAAGCTGATCTTCCCGGTATTTTGACTTTCCTCGACCTGTCACGGAGCATCTATTAGCCATTTCTTCCTACCGCCGCCCGAACGCATTCTGATCGATTTCATCGAACATACAAAATCAATCTGAATATTCTGTATTGAACTTGACCAGCCGTTGAAGCCAAACACCTCATTGGCAAGATTGATGCATTTATCCGCGGATAGATAGTGCACCTTCTGTCCCGCGGCACCAGGCCTCGAGGAGATGTATTCAGGGCCCAATTTCTTATCCAGGCGTGCTTGGAGGGTAGCAATTTCCTGCGCCGTATACTCACTGATCCGGCGAGACGGTTCTTCAAATGGGTTGCCGGACATGTTTCCTGTCGAATTTGGCATCATGACGCATGCTGGACCACTGCGGTGCTGGTCGCCAACACTGGGGTGAGTCGCGATTAGCTTTGGTCAAGGGCATAACAATACTATTAGAGGATCGCATATTAGCTTACGCGGGCATAATTTGGTGATATGAATAAGCTGCAAAATAATCAGGTCATTGAAGCCCGCATGTATTTATGCTGTGTCGAGCAGGATGATAAGGCTGATGAGCCTTTGATGATGAGGAGCACGAGGCAACAATGAGACGCGTGAGCAAACACGGACAGGTCGCGACATCACGTGATCATGTACTTGAATACAATTACTGGACTCCCTTCACTGATTGGTAGTTGCGTTTCTGGAAATCTATGACTTCAATTTTTACGCAATAGACTTGGTTGGATAGTAATTGTCTTCGTTAAGTATCGTAATCAGCCTCCTTCAGGCGGCCAGCCTCACTAAGTCCAGTACCAGAAATCACTGGACTACGAGACTGGCGCTGGGCACAAGTCCAAGGTCTTTGAGAGACTCGCCGAAGAACTCGGCATGGAACACTTTTCTGGGAAAGTTTTGCACGAAGCTTTGCACTTCGATGCCAAGCTCTTGTTTCAAGGCTGCGGCAACTTCGAACAAGGTCGTAGTGACGGGCACTGTTTTCATGACATTACCCTTGGGCGTCTGGAATCTCAGCCGAGTTTCAGTGTAAGCAGATGCGGGCTTGGAGGCAACAGGTCCCGAAGTTGTAGGCACCTGAGCAGCTGGTTGTGCAGGAGGTGCCATGCCGGCACGCTCGGCTTTCTCCCGCTCAGCTCTCAGCCGCCGCTCTTCTTTATCCGCTTCGATCCTGGCTTTAATGCGACGCTTGGCTTCAATCTCCTCAAGTTTCTCTTGCTTCTTCTTGGCGGCTTCCTTCATCATCTGTTTCCTTTGCAGTTCTTCCTTGATGTCCTGCGATTCTTTGGTGCTCTTTCGTCGAATTTCCTGTACCGAAACCATCAGTAGGTGATGCTGAAGTGGTTTGAAAGACTGCCCTCACCTCATTCCTCTTCTGATCAACTTTATCTTGATCAGCCTGTAGTGCTCGCTTCGCAGCCAATTTCTGCCGGAGCTCCTCCAATTTGGCCTTTTTCTCCTCCTCTGTCAAGGGTGCGATCTCTTCCGTTGACTCTGAAAAGTCCACATGTCCGGACTTAGATGCATGAAATTCTGCCTGTGCCTGGCTGCGGAACTTTTTCCCACACTCGTTGCAAACCAGACTGCGAGGTTCTTCGCCAGGTTGCAATGGGGGCCCCTCCTCAGACTCCCCTTCTTTCGACCCAGCAGCCTTTATTTCCTCTAACGACTTGTCTTGGTTTTCCTCAAGCCATTCTAAAGCTCCTTGGACTGTAAATGATGTGAAAGGAAAGAATCAGTACTCAATGCGAGGTGAGGAGTGAGGGGTGCCCTTACGTCCACCGCTTCTTGCCACCGCCAGTTGCGCTCTCTCTTTATCGAAGCCCATTTCAATGAGCTGGTCCAAGTCTGAAGTAGCCATCTCTTAGGCGTAAGTAATGATTCTGGGGAAGATGATGCCCTGACGCGGAGGAGATGTCAAAAGAGGTAGCGTGTTGGAGCGGAAGTTGAGGCCGAGCCGTATAGACCCTAGAGCTTCTCCGATATGCTAGAAGAGAATGTCAAGATTAGGTATGTTGGCCTCTGCAGCTGCTCAGAGGCTAGAATAGGAATGGGAAAGCTGCAACTGACTGCGAAAGGAAATTGTACACAGCAGTAGTTAGATAGAGGCCAGCTTGCAAGTGACGTATGGCCTTTGAGCTTAGGCGGCGGAGTAGAGAGGTAAGAGATGCGGGATGGTCCACTTTTTACTAATTAACGGCAAGAGTTCTAGCCTTCTAGTTCTAGGTACCACCATCCAAGCTCTGGAAATCTTAGTACTATTGTTCTAGCATATCTGTCATAGCAAAGGATTAAAATTTGTTCCCATAGGGTTGAGATAATAAGGGAAATGACGCAGGGATCACTTTTAATAGAACGCACATAATACAACTCAATGAGAAAGAGTCTTACGAATCCTAAAAGATCATCCACTACGGAGTACAAAGCAGTATATAAGTGATAGAGAACAAGGTGTATGGGCAAGG